CTTGGATGTAGTCTATCACAGTGCCATCCGTTTTGTCACCAAAGCCCCATATACTACCCACCACTGTGACCTGTACGCTCTTGTTGGCTGGTCCTCACTACATATTTGTCGCCAAACCCACTGGCTCCAGGTAATCTATAAATCACTGCTAGGCAAATCCCCGCCTTATCTTAGCTCATTGGTCACCATAGACACCCACCCGTAGTATGCGCTCCAGCAGGTATAGTATGCGCTCCAGCAGGTATATCTCACTGGTCATCCCCAAAGCCAACACCTCCTTTGGCCGCCATTCCTTCCAGTTCTCTGCTGCCAATGACTGGAATGAACTGCAAAAATCTCTGAAGCTGGAGACTCTTATCTCCCTCACTAACTTTAAGCATCAGTTGTCAGAGCACCTTACTGATCACTGCACCTGTACACAGCCCATCTGAAATTAGCCCACCCAACTACCTCATCCCCATATTGTTATTTATTTTGCTAATTTGCACCCCAGTATCTCTATTTGCACATCATCTCTTGCACATCTATCATTCCAGTGTTAATATTAAATTGTAATTATTTTGCACTATGGCCTATTTATTGCCTTACCTCCATAACTTGCTACATTTCCACACAGCGTATATATATTTTCTGTCGTATTTTTGACTTTATGTTTTGTTTACCCCATATGTAACTCTGTGTTGTTGTCTTGGCCAGGTCGCAGTTCGAAATGAGAACTTGTTCTCAACTGGTTTACCTGGTTAAATAAATTGTCTTGGCCAGGTCGCAGTTCTAAATGAAAACTTGTTCTCAACTGGTTTACCTGGTTAAATAAATTTGAAATAATTAAAATAAAATAAACTGCAGGAGGAAAAAACAATGCCTGAAAATAATTTAGATAGAAAGTTAGACACTATCAGAGCTGGTTTGTTTCTTCTGTTATAAACCAATACAATAACTGTTCATATAAGTAGCGTTATATTAACTTTGATTATTCCCACATATTTTATCAGCAATACCGCAGAGAAAAACCAATACTTCTGCAGTTCCACTAAATGTCCACTAGAGCTCGCTCTAAGCCCGGGTATTGTGTGCTGTGTGAGTGAACAGCAAGAGACTGGATTAGTGAGGCTTTGAGGCCCGCTGTCTGCCTGTTCTGTGGCGCTGTGTGCTGCCTGCCTGTCTGTTCTGTGGCGCTGTGTGCTGCCTGCCTGTCTGTGGACTGCTGCTTTCAGGCCTAGTCTGTCTGCTCTGTGAAGCAGGACGAAAGTCTCACAGTACAGCACAGCGAACCACAACAGCTGAAAGGGAGTAGACCAGTAGTAGGCCACTACACAGAACCAGCACTGGACACACTAACACAGCCCCTTCCACTACTACCATTACCATCACTATGTATGCCTATTGTACTAGTGGTAGCCAAATAGACATTCTGAAACCAGGAAATGACAGCGGTGGATGAACATTGTAAACACACGGCCATACTTCATTGTTGTTGTTCTGTTGTTAATCTCCTCATGGACTGGGAGTGAACTTACTCACAGCTGCCCGTCTACTGCTGCTGTTGTTAACCCTCTGACTCCAGAACTCGTGGTAGAACAGGGATGGGCGACTGGCGTCCCCCGTGGGGCGCCCCCCTTTTGAAGGCCCTTGGATCAATTTCCCCCCAGAAAATAACCATATGGGTTAAAGATAGGTACAGAATGGTGTCATTTATCACATCCACAGTCTATCATGAGTCACGATGATATTGATGACAACTCTACAGTTGGCCTTGGCATTCCCATTGTAAATAATCACAGATTGTAAAATAACTCTGAATGGGGGAAATCACAATTTGTTTTCATACAGGATCACATGGTATCTCTGTTCTACTTAACTAATTTCTATCTAAACATTCAATTCTGTAGCATTGCCTCCTCCTGAATAAACCCTGTCTCTATCCAGTGTGTGTGTGTGTGTGATTAGTGAGTGACACTGTGCATTACATTATGTGAGGCAGTTCTACAACGCAATTATCTTGTTTCACTGGGTTTGTCAAAGCACATAATCCTTCTTATATAAACCGTCGCTGTTTTTCCACATCCTGGATGGAAGTCAATGAGAGAGAGAGAGAGAGAGAGAGAGAGAGAGAGAGAGACAGAGAGAGAGAGCGAGAGAGAGAGAGAGAGAGAGAGAGAGAGAGAGAGAGAGAGAGAGAGAGAGAGAGAGAGAGAGAGACAGACAGACAGAGAGACAGACAGAGAGAAACAGAGAGAGGGAAAGAGAGAGAGAGAAACAGAGAAACAGAGAGGGAAAGAGAGAGAGAGAGGGAGAGAGAGAGAGAGAGAGAGAGAGAGAAAGAGAGAGACAGGCAGAGAGAGAATACCTCAGTATATCTAAATAAAGCAGGGAGAACAGGAGACAGTGGTGCATGGTGTTATCATGCCACGTTGTGCTGCTAAGACATACTAACATCCTCTCTGTATACTGTTAGCTATAGCCTAGCCACAGTAGCTAACCCCCACCAGGGGTAGGGAGAGGATAGGATACAGCAACACACAGGCTCAGATGTTTGTGCAGACAGACATACATAGACACACACACTTACACTATTGCACTATACTGACACGTAGGCACACACACACACACACACAGCTATGATGACTCACACCTCCTTAAAAGGGACAGCATTGTCCACACATTGTCATTAAAAGTACACTTGAATAGTCTGTGTGTACATTCCAAATGGCACCCTGTTGATTACCGCATTACACCCTGTTGATTACTGCATTACACCCTGTTGATTACTGCATTACACCCTGTTGATTACTGCATTACACCCTGTTGATTACTGCATTACACCCTGTTGATTACTGCATTACACCCTGTTGATTACTGCATTATCCCCTGTTGATTACTGCATTACACCCTGTTGATTACCGCATTACACCCTGTTGATTACTGCATTACACCCTGTTGATTACTGCATTACCCCCTATTGATTACTGCATTACACCCTGTTGATTACTGCATTACACCCTGTTGATTACTGCATTACACCCTGTTGATTACCGCATTACACCCTGTTGATTACTGCATTACCCCCTGTTGATTACTGCATTACACCCTGTTGATTACTGCATTACACCCTATTGATTACTGCATTACACCCTGTTGATTACTGCATTACACCCTGTTGATTACTGCATTACACCCTATTGATTACTGGGTTTGGAGCTTGCAAGAAAGGCATTTCACTGTACTTGTGCACGTGACATTAAAACTTGAAACCTAATCCCTATATATCTCCACACGATAACATACGCACTATACACACACGTACACATGGATTTTTTGTTATAGATATGTGGTAGTAGAGTAGAGGCCTGAGGGCACGCACTTAATAAGTTATGAAATATGTTGTGAATGTATTGTAATGATTTTAAAATGTATAACTGCCTTAATGTTGTTTGGAACCCAGGAAGAGTAGCTGCTGCCTTGGCAACAGCTAATGGGGATCCATAATAAATACAAATATATATAATGCACTATGGGCACTGGTCAAAAGTACAGCACTATAAGGAAATAGGTTTCTTCTCTCTTTTTAGGGCCAAGTGACTACAGTTTTACCCCCCACCACAGTAACTGGACAGGGGCACTGCAGTTCTCCTAGACCCAGGCGACATTCCAGTAATACAGTTGATCTTAGTGTGTGTGTGTGTGTGTGCCAGCCTTCTACGGCGCTTCTGTAAAGCCCTATTCCCAAGCGCGCCTACGACACTCTTGAGATACGATTATTCCTAGATATGAGAAACTCTTGCCGCGTTCACGTGCTAGACGGAACTCTGAAATGTCCAACTTGCTAACTGGTTGGTGGTTATACACGTGACGCATTCAACCACTTAGCAAGTCGGAAATGTCCGTTTCCTAGTTCCGACTAGCACGTGAACACGGCATAACCAGCTACGATTATTCCCAGACAGGATAACCCATAAGGACCATTCATATGATTGAATGTATTATTGACTGGCTGTCAGTTAGACACTTGTGTTAACAAAGCAGTGAAGATGACTTTCCTCCTGTTAGGAACCCAGCGGATAGTATAGCCAATACAGAACCAGTTTACCTCATGTCAGACAAGTTCACTGATGAGCTATAGAGTTGCATTGGATTGAGTTGCTACTCCCATCCTTGCCCATTCTATTCAAACTTCAGTACGACACAATCGAAGGCTGAAAAACAGTAACAGTAGGATACTTCCAACAGCTTTACTGACTAATGACTTGTATCTTATTAACCATGGGAATAATCTAGTGGTGTTCCATCTACAAGAAAATAAAATAAAAAATCAATCTATAAAAAAAAAAAAAAGTTTATTGATGTCAGAAGCAATTCAGAATCAACAAAAACAGATGTAATCCTTTTCTTATTTTTGTAATTACAGTGGTATTCAAATAGTACAGTAAAATAACGTTGATAATACGGCAATTTGATAATACGGCATCTAAAATAAGAGAACAGATACACCAGTCATTGAAAACAGAAGAACTTCTAGGACCCCACATATAACTAGGTAGTGTGCTGCTGTGCACTGCTACATAGGGCAAATAGACCCAGCGGTTTCCCAGCCAATTTTACAACCGCTTTAAACTGTACCAGGCAAGTGTGCGTTCCAAATGGCACCCTGATCCCTTTATAGTGCACTACTTTTGACCAGAGCCTCATAGCGAGTGAACTAAATAGGGAATAGGGTTTGATTTGGGACGCAGCAAGGGATAATAGTGGTATAAATACTAACTACCACTGGAAGAGAGTAACACTAGACAAACACAGATGACACTGTTGTAGAAAAGGAGAAAAAAATCTGTACAGCTTATAAACTTCTTAAGTCATTTCTTTTGGTACAGTTTTTTTTTTTTTAGCGTCTTTTGACTTTTTTTTCAAGTTTTGTTTTGTTTTCAGTAAGTGATGTGTGTACAAGGGGGGGTTAAATGCTTTATAAACAAGAAATTATAAGTGCTACACGTAACAACGGTAATCTACTCGTCATCATCCTCATCATCATCATCATCATCTTCATCATCCTCATCATCATCATCACTGTCTTCGTCGTCCTTGGCGGGTGCGGCGGCCTTCGCTGGCATGCTGACGGGCACCTTACCCTTGTTGCGGTACGCAGTGATGTCCTGAGAACAAGGAAGCGGAGGAGAGATTTTTGTTGAACTGTTGCTCTGAATGACACTTGGCTAGTGTTTCAGATGACTGGGGTGTAATCATTACTCCAAACAGTTGCAACATTTTCTATTTTAGAACGAAAACTAGCATTTCTATTGGACAGGATCAGCAAACGGAGGGACCTACCTGAATCTGTCCAATAGAAACGCTAGTTTACGTTGTAAAACAATTACACCCCTGGTTTTAGTAATAGATATTTTGACTGTTAACATGTAAGGTATTTCTAACCAAACTGTAGAATTTACTGTTGGTCCCATGTTGAAATCCACAAGTCTAACTTCAATTGTCACACTATTGACATGAACTACAAGAAAGTCCAAATTAGACTCAGCCCTCTGAATACACCCGTCGCCCCCCCCGTCTGACTGCACTGTGTTACAGCTCCTCCAAATTCATAAAGGAACAAAAGGGTTGACGTTTATTTGTTTTACCTTCTCGTACTTCTCCTTCAGCTTGGCAGCCTTCTTCTCATAGGGCACCTTGTCCTCCGCCGTTAGGTTGTTCCACTTCTCTCCCAGCTTCTTGGCCACATCACCGATAGACAGGCCCGGGGTCTCCCCCTTCACCTGGGGTCGGAGGTCAGCGCAGAAGATGAAGAACGCAGACCTGGAGGATGGGAGAGGGACAAGGAAGGAGGGGGGAGATGGTGGTAGGAGAGAGATGGTGGAAGGGAGAGATGGTGGAAGGAGAGAGATGGTAGAAGGAGAGAGATGGTGGAAGGAGAGAGATGGTGGAAGGGGAGAGATGGTGGAAGGAGAGAGATGGTGGTAGGAGAGAGATGGTGGAAGGGGAGAGATGGTGGAAGGAGAGAGATGGTGGAAGGAGAGAGATGGTGGTAGGAGAGAGATGGTGGAAGGAGAGATGGTGGAGCGGCGGATGGTGGCAGGAGCAGAGATGGTGGTGGGAGAGAGTGGAGGGCGGATGGTGTGGAGGATGGTGGAGGGGAGATGGTGGTCGGGAGCAGATGGTGAGGAGGCGTGGTGGGGGGAGATGGTGGAGGGGCGCTGGTGTGACGGAGGCGACTGGTTGGCGGGTGCGACTGGTGGCAGGGAGGTGGTGGTAGCGCATGAGATGGTGGTGGGACGAGAATCTTTGGCGTTGTTTGGTTCATGAATGTGTGGGCAACTGGTACGGATGTGATGAGGTTAGATGTCTTCATGGGTGTTGTTGTTGTTGCCAACATGGGATAATGATTTTATTGTAGTGTTAGTGGTGATTGTTCGTAGCATGTCGTGAACAATGTAATTCAAATCATATGTCATTGTTTTAGGCATATAGATGGTTCATAATGTGACTTGGTAGACATCTTCTCTACATTCCATGGGGGATGACTGTCTTTTTCTGTCAGGCAGTACTCACGATGGTCTCTTGGGGGCGTTGGGGTCCTTGAACTTCTTCTTCTTCTCTCCCTTGGGAGGAATGTAGCTCCTCATCTCCCTCTCATAGCGCACCTTGTCCAGCTTGGCCAGATCCTCAAACTTCCCCTTCTCCTTGGCGGACATGGTCTGAGACGAGAAGAAAAACAACAACATGAAGAAGGTGTTTAAGTACATGTAGAAAACACTGGTCAGACACACAGTGGTAGAGGGAGACAACGTTTACAAGAGAATGATACACAAGGGGTGGCAGATAAGTATGGAACAACTTAGCTGTGACACCATTCATTTGAAACTATCTTGTACCACAGACAGCTATCAAGGGATTGATATTGGTACAGGACAGTGTCAACTAAAGGGGGTTGGCTCCCAAATGGCACCCAGTCCTTATTTAGTGCACTACTTTCAACCAGGGCCCATAGGGGCGCTGGTCAAAAGCAGTGTACTATATAGGGAATAGGGTGCCAGTCAGTCACAGCTGAGATGTGTTCCATACTTACCTTCCATCTCTCAGAGCACTTCTTGGAGAACTCTGAGAAGTTGACGGAAGCTTCTGGGTGTTTCTTCTTGTGCTCCTCCCGACAGGTCTGGACAAAGTAGGCATAGGAGGACATCTTGCCCCTCGGCTTCCTTGGATCTTTCCCCATCTCAATATCTAAAAAAGGGAGAGAACGTTTTAGAAATTAGCAAAACAGCAAAGAAAAGTTAATAACGTAAAATATTATAAACATTTTTATTCAGTAATTTCTGACCAAAAAACGATTTACTGCCATATTTTTTTTGAAGTGTCACCTAAATACTTTTCTGCAAACTCTGCACGTGATTGGAGAGCGGTGTTTGTTTTCTGTAATGTTCTCCTTCTTTCCGATCGGCCGTACCGGCTACAGTTGGCGAACGATCGAGCTATAGTTGATTCGTGGACATTTTCTCCCATCTCAGCCATGGAAGTCTGCAGCTCTTTCAAAGAGGCCGTCGGCCTCATGGTGAGTTCTAGAGCTAGAATCCTTTTGGCCCAACTGCTTATTTTGGAAGGCCTTCCTGATCTGGGCAGAGTCTCCGTGGTTCCATACACCTTCCACTTCTTAATGATTGACCTGACTGTACCCAATGGGATACTCAATGTATGGGAGATTTTTTTATAACCTTCCCCTAATCTGTGCCTATCTACAATTTTATCCCTGAACTCTTCTGAAAGCTCTTTGCGCCTCATGGTTGAAATTCACTACCTGACTGAGGGTGGAAGCCCTTTCTCAACTAGTTACCAATATTTGTTGCAACTGAGTTAATTAGATTTGCTTTGACCAATGGGTTAAAGACATTAAATAATATAGTATTGGTTATTTATTTGGATGATTTATTTTCTATCATTTGGGATTCCCCCTACAAGCCTGCAATCAAGACCGTTTCCTTCCCTCACTCTTGGCATCAGAACTGTAAACGCAGCCCTCTGCGAATAAACACGTCTGGTTCGTTCTGTCTGCTAGAAAATACGTTTGTGGAAAACAAACCCTTTGTCGAGGAGCGTTTGTCACAGCTCTTTGCCGAAAACGCAGCCGTTATTTTTACTGGTGAAATCATGAGAAATGTAACTTTTTAATAAAAAATCATGTAAAAAACGATTTTCATGTATTTTGTAGTCTTAAAATTAGTCACATTTTATTTTTATTTTTTTATGCGGAGTGCCTGTCATTCAATCATTGGAGTTTTAGCTATAGAACGTTACAGAAGTTCTCAATCTAGAAAAAAATGCGTGCAACATTGGATTCTCTTATGCAGATGTATGCAAAGATTTGAAATGTTTCACGCACTAAAGCAGAAAGAAAATGAGAAATACATATCACCACGTTTCTGATGAATTCGTGTATAATGTTAAAATGACAGTGCAGTCTAAATAAATATATTCCTTAGAAAAACATAAACCCCGAAAAATCGAGAAAAATACCCTAAAACCACAAAATAACGTCAAAAGATGTTTCCCTTTCAATCTAAACTCGATTCGGCAACATTTGAAAAAATCATAAAAATTTGGAAAAAAATCACTAATATTCCCTATTATATTACTGGTAGCTATACATCTGTGTTGTAACAAAGCAATGCCTTTCTATCTGCCGAGTGAAGTAGTAATGGCGCATAGGCTTCTCGTTGAGGAAAAGGAGGTCAACAACGACTGCAATATTTCTTCTTCCATTTTGTAAGAAAGCCTTCTTCATGAAAGAAAGTCGCCCTGAAATGTCTCCACCCGCATTCCCGGTCGCTTTATTAATCGACAAATATGTTGACAAAGCCCGCGAGCCTGACAATACTTTTCCCCGGTAGATTCCTATTGCAATAGCCGCCGTTTATAGCAATACACTGGGTCTGTGCTATGCCTATGTGCGGGCCGTGTTGAGTTAGTTTCCTATTAGCTCGGAATGGCCGCTTGTCTTCATCCACTAACATGGAGAATATGGCTCCTTCTCTTTGTGTCAATGCACAGCCATTACACGGTTTACACTAGTTACCACAGCAACAAAGTCAAAATTGAAAATCGTAAAAATGAATGAAAACAACAATTTGCTTTTTGGTCTTAATGGAAGGTCAGGGTTAGGCATAAGGTTAGCAGTGTGGTTAGTGTTAGGTTTAAAATCACATTTTAAGAAAATAAATTTTAGAAATAGGAGGGGTTTAAGACTTTGTGGCTATGGTAACTAGTGACGACACAGATAGAACAATGAGCCAGATGTTTCACCGGATGTACAAATCTGAAGCATCCGGTAAGCGATTCCACTCGCCACCAAATATGGTGATGAGAGGAAGCCTAGTGGCCGGCAGTGAGAGTAGAGTGAGATGGATTTTGCCCAACATTCTGCTAATTTTCGATTCAATTAAACATTTGATCTTAATAAAGTATTCTGTTCCTATTACTACAATATGTCAAGATCAGATTGGACTATGTTTTGTTGACTTTACCCTTTGCCAAAGTTTCATTAAATTGCGTTGTTTAGAACGACTGCACAGGCAAATGATGTTATTGCACACGCGCACTTCAGAGTAGGCGTTCCCTTACGGAAATATGCAAATAGATGCTAGAACGTGCCAATAGGATCTTACTAACTTGTGCTTGGCTCTGCGCCGCTCCTTGCTTGTTCCGCCCACTATGATTCATTTGCTCACATTGGAAACGACAGGCTGTGGTCTATCTTGGGTTAGTTAAATCTTTGGCCATTACATTGCATACAGTAGAGGGCAGCGCGACCGCGGGTGCCCACCTTATTTCAATCTGCGATTTCAACCCTTTAATCTCGACGGAAAAATACCATAATACTGTCGTTGGAATAAGGAAAGATGGGACTTTAATTTCTAATCGTTAGATCGTACAGTTTGATACGTGTTTGGTGAGAAATCACGGTTTGAAAAAGTTGAAGTGAACTGCGCTTGTATGGCTGGCTCAGCCGTTACTGTCTGCATTTTTTCCAATGCGAGTACAGTCAGCCATTACAGTAAAGCGCAGATTCCTGAGGAAATTTTTATTTCACTCTTTTATGAGACGATTAGTTAAAAATAACTATGAACAGCTTTTTTTCCCCACAATGTTTTCTATATTTTTATTTTCGATTTTCCCACGGTTTCATCTTCGCATGAGAGGCATCACAGCCTCGCAACACACTGCAATGACTAGCTATGGGCTGGAGCCCATACCATGAACCATGTCTTCCACCATGAACCATGTTTGTGCGCTAACGTTACATAGCCAGCTGTCCGCTGGACATTACTGATTTTTAACTCGATAATTACACCACATTTTATCATAACAATGCAACACTTACCTGACATGAATTAATGAAATAATTTGCATTCAAGGAAATCGACGTTTGTATTGAAATTCCACTGATTAATTTTGCTTTCTCTTTTTTTTTTTTACGTGTGCTTATTGTAAGTTACAGTAGCTGGCTAATTTCTTGTTTTTTTTACGTTCGCTTCGAATGAAAAATCACAAAATTGTCGCCAACCTAATATTCAAGCATGGTCAATACATTTCTGAGGTATTTCAGCATTTTCTTATCACTTTCATCCTTCCCGACACTTTCACATTTTTTCGTGAGTGATACTTACCAAAGGCTGCCGCTGTATCTCAATGCACTGCAATGGCTGTATGTGGAATACCAGCGATACGCAGTGTCTTCAGTCTTCGCTTCTGTAACATTACTGTCGATGGTGCTCGCCCCGCATTGGCCACCTTCAAGTCTATCGCATATCTGATTGGATATAACCTTTTCATTGCCCTAATATCAGACGATGCGCCATTGGCTATCTTTTGTGAAACGTCACCAGAGTTTTAAATGGCGCGGTGATACGAAACATGTTGCTAGTGCTGAGTTTGGGGCGCGCAGCTTGCTAGATAGTGTAGTGTGTTAGCCATAGTATTGAATTATGTGTGTTGAACACAGTGTAGCAAATGAATGGGACAACGTGGAGCGTTCTAGTGAGCTACAGAGTGGTAAAGTGAACCGGATAGGTGGGCGTTTCCCCTGATCATCAATCACAACCATTGACTTTTCACACCACCCAATGTTAACTTTATTAGCAAATTATGACTTTGTTAATTTAAGATTAGGATGGTGGGTTTTGAATAGGAATAATATAAAACTGTTTGAGGGACTTCTTGGTAATGTAATGCAGAAGGAATTTGAGATAATTTGGCATTTGTTTTTCAGCCAATCAATAGGCTATAGGCTAGACACAATATACACTGCTATCAATGCAGGTGTATCAATAACTGTCTAATTATTTAGCCTTCTTAAGCCACCATCGCTCTGCTTTTCGATACGAGACAGCGTTTACTATGCTAAAAGTGATTGTTTAAGAGAAATACAAGATTATCTAACAAATGTTAATCACATAGTTTAATCTAATGCATGTGGTATATTGTTATCAGTGGGAGTACCACAAACATAACAACCTGTTTCATGTGCGCTCTTAAGGCTATATGAAGCAGTGAGACGCGCAATAGGCTACAGCTCTGACTCGAACCGTTAACTTTGTACCGTTATTTTTCTGCTATTGTAACTGTACGTTTTGTTACAATCTAGCTAAAGGCTAAACCTTTTGGATACATGTATTAGGATACAAGCAAAGAGCATCGCGGGAGACCTGCTAAAAGATCTTTGATGTCAACGCGCTTACAGTATGCGTGTATGTTGCAACCCAACGTTCCAATTATCACATGCGCTCGCGCTCCTATGAATAGAATTGTATTGCATGCCATAGCCCCTTCCAGGCACATTCAATTCACACATATAAGGTCAATCCATGGATTGATTGAAGCCTAATTTTACAAGTTGAATAAAAACAATCATGTGTCATTAGAAATATAATCATATTTTGATCTCGACAAAGTTTGATACCATTTGTAATAGACAGATTTGAATGCACCCTTGTTGGGACAGTGCTGTTTTTTCAGTCCCTTAAGGTCAAATTCATTATCAAATCAATTATCATCATCATACCACTGACAAAAAAAAACGATGGGATTTTTATAGGGCTCTGAGCCATTGTCTTTACAGGTGTGGAAAGTACAACAAGATTATGATAATGTCTAACTTATAATACAATGATGATGCTGGTGGTATTGATGATGGTTGATGGTGATGGTGATGATGATGATGGT